AACTATCTGTTAATCAACAACAATCACCCATCCTTTTATCAGACTCACCCACTTTAGTCTTTAATTTTTTTTTCTGGGTTCATTATCCATATTGATAAGCATGTTGTGAATAAGATGCAGGAAGGAAGGAAGGAAGGAAGGAAGGAAGGAAGGAAGGAAGGAAGGAAGGAAGGAAGGAAGGAAGGAAGGAAGGAAGGAAGGAAGGATACAAGTTGGAGGAAAGGAAAAGAGTAGAACTATGTATAAATGTAACAGAATGTTAGCAAAGGAAACATTTAGATGTTGCCCATTTCAGCAAAAGAAAATCAAAATTATTTTATTTTTTATTTTGTTTTCTCATACACAGAGTATACCAAAAATCACTCCCCTTATAAATTGTGTCATTTAATTTACATAACAAATTACCTACAGAGCCTGTCTTTGGAACTGCACACACAGAGACAAACACAAAGATAAAAGCACACTGTGTATGTGGCTTTCCATATTTCTATTCCATATTTCTATTCTATTTATACACTCTCCTTCCTCTGAGTATTTATTTTCCTTATAGAGGTTTAAAACTCATCTGCAGCTTCCCCACATTCCAAAAATGTCATTCTTGGAAGTTTCTGGGGTATGCTCAGGACAATTATCCAATGTTATTCCTCCATTGGCTCATCTGCTATAGCAGATTATCTTTATCAAAATAATAAAGGTAGGATGTAAACAAAGTAATAAATAAATTTGAACAGCAGCATTTTGCCAGTGCTCAGGCTCCTGAAGTTGCTGTTTTTTGGGTCAGGGCTCCCTCTGCTGATGAAAAAGTAGCAAATTTTCTAACTAACATTTTGATGATACAATTACTTTTCCTGATTTACTGATTTTCATTTGTTACTTTTGATTGTTAGGATTTATTTTTTTTGTGTGTGATTTTATTAGTAGTGTTTACTTAATAGATCAATGTATTTGTTTACTAATTATTTTTAATATGTTACAGTTTAAGCTTTGTTAAAAATGGTTGAATATGATATTTACTCATTATTATGAACTGGATGGTTGCTTGTTTTTGAAATATGTGATTGTACCTATCCTTATTTTACCCTAATTCCTTATTTCCTTCCCATCCCCCTTTCCTTTTACCCTTCCCTTTACCACACCTGTATTTTTTCCTATTTTTCCTCACCTATATAAATTTAATAAAATTTTGTTTTAAAAAAAGTAGCAAATTTTGGGTGTCTCCATACAGATTTTGTTTCATGTAAAAATCAGAACAAATTCTGGTTTAGATTCTGCCCATTCAAGGCAAACCATCAAAAGTGGGGCTGAACCCTTGGAAATTGATGGTCTACTTCTGTCTTCCAATGTAATAATTTGTCATGTTTTGGACAGAGTTCTAGAATTGGGAAGTTTTAACACAGATGAGAAAAAATGGAGGGGTGTTAGTAGTGATGGCTCTCTTCAAAGACCTAAAAGACTATCATCGACAGAGTCAAGACTGTTTCTTAATTGTTAAATGGTAAAATTGGTAAAATGAGGACTCAGATTGAGGGGGAAATGCCCATAATATAAACCACCCAGAGTATGCTGTAAAGCACTATGGAACGGTATATAAGTCTAAGTGCTGTTGCTATTGCTTTGTTGATGGCAATGCCTCTGATGCACTTCCTTTATGTTCCCCTTCTGATACCTTGGTCACATGACAAAGGTCTTCTAGTTTGCCATGCATGAACTAAGATGTTTGTTGGTGGCTCTGGTTAAGCAAGAGGTCTTGGGCATTACATCTGAAAACACCAGAAACTCAAAGACACAAGGGGTTCAGTGGCAGTGGAGACATAAGGATATGTCATCCATTGTTTCTTGTCTTGCTTTCTAGTACTTTGGAAAATAATTTCAGGTAAGTGGCTATCAAGTCTCTTCTTAAAAACCTCCAGTAATGAAGCACTCACAACGTCTTTTTTAATATAATAATTTTTTATTTTTCCAAACTCTCCCCCATACATATACTGTGATATTTATCAGATGTTAACATACATTCTTTTTACATTCATATATAAGATACTTTTAATAAAATGAAATACATACACATGACTTTTGGTGTTGCTCAGCCATTTCCCCTTTCACTGTCTCCACACTCCTTCTTCTCTACCTTCTTTCTCCCTTTCTTCTCTTCCCTACTTCCCTCTTCTTCCTCTCCTCTTCTCTTTCCTGCACCACTCTCCTCCCCTTTCTCCCCACTTCTCCTCTTCTCCTCCAACTTTCCTACTTCCTTCTCCCCTCCTTTACTCTTTTCTCTCTCCTCTCCTTTCTTCCCTCTCATCTTTCTTCAGATACAGTTCAGGGGTAATATCCGAGCAACTCCTCTCTCCAAATTTCCCTATCTGTATTATATATAATAAGATTAATTTTCTCTTACATTAATACTTCTATTTATCTAACCTTCTCGGTATATACTAAGCACTCACAACTTCTGAAGCCAAGCTGTTCCATTGGTTAATTGTTCTCACTGTTAGAACATTCCTCCTTAACCCCAGGTTGCTACTCTCCTTGAGCAACCTGGGATCCTTGAGTAGGGTCTGTAAGATTATCTGGGACACTACACATCCTCTTCATGACTTGTTTTCCTTGTTACCTTCTGGGAGGAGGCTTCATGGTATCCAAAGCAGAACATCCAGATTCAGTCACAGTTTCATTCCATACAGCATTAACCTTGTGAACTCTCAAGCTTCCTCTTTCCGTTATAAATTCAAGATGGACAGTGTTTAATATTTATTTGTTATGTATATGTAGGGGTGTGGGTCTATACATATGTTGTATATAGTATGTTTAGGTGTGTGTCATGTATCTGTTCACTTTGAGAGCAGACAACTAAATTTCATTTTTGATGTGTGCCATTGTGCCCAAAGTAAAAGGTTATCTTGTCTTGTTTGTCTTGTCTTGTCTTATCCCATCTTATCTCGTCTCGTCTCATCTCATCTCATCTCATCTTATCCTATCATTTTATCTTATGTCATCTCATCTCATCTCATCTCGCCTTGCCTTTTCTTTTGTCTCGTCTCATCTCATCTCATCTCATCTCATCTCATCTTGCCTTTCTTGCCTTATCTTGCCGTGCCTTGCCGTGCCTTGCCTTTCCTTGCCTTATGTTAGCTTATGTTATCTTATGTTATCTTGTCTTATCTTGCCTTGCCTTGGCTTGCCTTGCCTATCCTATCCTATCCTATCCCATCCCATCCCATCCCATCCCATCCCATCCCATCTCATCTCATCTCATCTTATCTTATTGGTTTCCATCTGTTGCTTCTTGTCTTTGCTTTCTGGTGCTTTGGAAAATAGGTTGACCTGCTCTTCTCTGGGGCAGCCACTCAAATACTGGAATACTGCTCTCCCCCCCCCCTTAGTCCTTCTTTTCTCTAGACTGGCCATATGCAATTCCTACAATCTTTCTTCATATGTTTTGGTTTCCAGGCCCTTAATCATCTTAGTTACTCTTTGTATTTTTTCCAAAGTCTCAACATCTTTTTAATAATGTGGTGAACAAAACTGGATGCAGTATTCCAGATGTAATCTTACTGAGGATTTATAAAGTGGTACTAATACTTCACATGATTTTGATTCTATTTATACAACCAAGGATTGTATTAGCTTTTTTGGCTGCTGCTGCTGCACACTGCTGACTCGTGTTTAACTGATTGTTCATTAGGACTCCAAGGTCCCTCTCACAATTATTGTTTTTGAGCCAGGTTTCACCTAATTTGTATTTGTATCTTTGGTTTGTTGAATATTCCCAATCCTAGCAATCTGTCCAAAAGAAGACAAATTATTTAATTGGAAGTCAGAATTAGACCATCCATTTCCAAGAGTTCTGCCCCACTTTTTCTGGTTTGCCATAGCTGGGCAGAATCTAAACCAGGGTTTGTTCTAATTTTTATGTGAAACAAAATGTAGACGGAGATACCAAAAGTTTGCTACTTTTTCATCAGCAGAGGAAGCCCTAACCACAAAAATGGCATCTTCAGGAACCTGAACATCGGCAAAAAGCTGCTGTTCAAATTTATTTATTACTTTGTTTACAGCCTACCTTTATTATTTTGATAAAGATAATCTGCTATAGCAAATTGATCCAGTGGTGGGATTTAAACATGTGAACAGCCAGTTCTCTGTATGGATGGCACTTCCAGAAGTCCATTCTGGGCCTGGGCAACAAAACATTAGCTACCAGTTCTGCCAAACTGGTGGGAACTGGCTGAATCCCACCACAAATGAGCTAATGGAGGAATAGCAGGTAGCTTTGATAATAGTCATGAGCATATTACAGAAACCATTGAGAATGACATTTTTGGTATAGGGAGAAGCTGCAGATGAGTTTTAAAAGGAAAATAAATTCTCAGAGGAAGGAGGGCATATGAACAGAATGCCAAATATAGAGTTTGTCGCTGTGTTTGTGTATTTGTGCATGCTTGTGTGTGTTTGCAGTACCAAAGTCAGGCCGTATATATAATTTGTTATATAAATTACATGACACAATTTATAAGAGGAGTGACCTTTTGGGAAAATAAAATACAAAATAAAATAATTTTCATTGATAATGAACCCAAACCAGAAAAATTTTGAAGACTCTTTAATTAAAAAAAAAATAAAGTGAGAAACTGTCCTGTTGGGAACTAATGTCCACATATTTAATACAAACGTTTACTTCTATCTTGATCTCTGGGGCCTCACTGGGGAGAACCAGAAAGAATGAAGAATAAAAGGATCGGTGATTGTTGCTGATTAACAAATATTTTGTGCTTAGTCACATAACATTACTTCCAATTAATGGACATTTTCTTGCATTTCATGATTTATTTCAAAAATCAGATCTGATACAAAAATATCCCAACATCACATTGTCCAATCTCCACATAAATCAGCAATTCTTCTGCCTCATTATATTCTCTTTACTATTCAGATGAGGCCTCAGTAGGATAATGTAGCATTTGGGGAAAAAGATACAAGCCAAGAGACCAGCCCCAGACGCCAAGATGGAGAAGATCTCCACGGCCACCATGGACTTCCCTTTGGTGCTCAGGTAGGTGGGGATGAAGGTGATCCAAACACTGCAAAAGACCAGCATGCTAAAAGTAATGAACTTGGCTTCATTAAAGCTGTCAGGCAATTTCCTAGCTAGAAATGCCACGGTGAAACTGACAAGGGCTAGGAGACCCAGGTAAGCGAGGGCAGCATAAAAGAATGAAGCTGAGCCTTCTTTACATTCTAAGATGATCTCTCCAAACAAGGAGTGGAGGTCTAAGTTGAGAAATGGGGGAGAAATTGCCAGCCAAATAGCACAAAGGACTGTTTGGACCAGGGGACAACCTATCACAATGGACGTGGTCAGTGGTTTTCCTAAAAGTTTCCTTGTCCTGTTCCCTGGCTTGGTAGCCATGAAGGCAAGAACCACCATGACAGTTTTTGCCAAGACAGAAGAAACTGCAAGGGAAAAGAGAATGGCAAAGGCAGATTGTTGGAAGAGGCAGGTGAGCTTCCCAGGTTGACCAATGAAGAGAAAGGAACAGAGGAAGCAGAGTAGGAGGGAAGCCAGGAGGACATAGGTGAGATCTCGGTTGTTGGCCTTGACAATCGGTGTGTCATGATGTTTATGGAAAATCACCACGATAGCAGTTGTGATCAGGGAAAAGAAAAGAGCTAAAGAAGTTAAAACATATCCCAGGGGGTCTTGATAGGCAAGGAAGTGGAGCTTCTTGGCAGTGCAGTTGACCATATCCTTGTTAGGGTATTGATCTTCCAGACAAGGATCACATTCAGCTGCATCTGGAATTAAGAGTATTTATGTAATCATGTGCGATGAACATTATCTCACCTTCAGAGATGACATGACTGTCCCTTTGTGCTATAGCCAACTCCCAAAGAAATGATGGAGTGATCCACGTGATATATCTCTAACACCCAGAAATCTGGCTCGTGTGTGTGTGTGTGTGTTTGTGTACATTATCTTTTCATGTGTGCTGAGAATGTCAAAAATGCAACAGAGGGAGACATAAAAAGCTGCACTGAATATCATGAGAGGGAATGGTCTCTTTTCCTGATCCAAATTGATTTATAGGGAAACAGGTCACAGGGAGAAAGATATACAATTGTGCACCAAGTATTCTGAAAAGGGAAAGAAGTGATTTACAGGGAAAATTGTACCCTGTACTTTGAATCCTATCAATTCTATGAACAATGATAACTAAAACCAATATTTTCATTCACAGAATGGTTCACTGATCCAGGGAGATCTATATTTGATGTATGCTCTACCTGTCTGATTAGAAATGGTCCCTTCTGGACAAGGGACACATTGATAGCAGCACACCTGCTTGCCCTCTGGGACACTTCTCCTCTCTCCTGCACGGCACCTCTTCATGCCACACCTGGCAAAGGGTACCTTCTAAGAGAGAAAAGAGAAATACTGTAGATAGCTCAAGTGATTTTTTTATCCATTTCCACATTTGGTGGCCATTTTCAGACATGGTTCACCAGGTCTCCCAAAATGCTGGAAGAGCCCCTGGGGAATTCAGTTCAGTGGCACTACATTAATTCCTGTGGATGCTGGAGATTGGAGTAGAGACCTTGGCCTAGAAAGGAAGACTTGTGACATTGAGCTGTGGCTTTTAGGAAATAATGAAACATGAGTATTCAAGTGAATGGTGTGAAGAAAACATGTTCTTGAAGGAGTCGGAATGTGTTAGCAAAATAGAAACATGAAAGGAACATGTGCTAATTGAGGCAACCTTGAAGAACATGGTTCTCAGTATGCTTTATCAATGTTTCACTTGCATGTAACTGATATTTTTTTTTAATTAAGGTAATATTTTTTTACTGAGCATAGTAACAGTAGAATAGTGGGAAAGAAGTTGTGTTTTGCAAATTATGAATATCTATGCTTACATTGTCAACACTGTAAATACTGTATATTCTTGCTTTGACAATATGCAGAACTATCTGGTATTTTTAGAGTTAATGCAGAGCAGAAGAGGGTAAAGGGAAAGAGAGAGGAAGGAAACGTTTGATCTTCATACTAATTGGATAACGTGACAGCTAATTTGGGGAGGGAACATGTTGATAATTTAATTGCTCAGGGGAAGAGAATTTAGATCTTGGCATCTCCGTTATGCCTGTGCCGACATTTTGTAACAATAAATGACTTTTAGGAAAATCAATGCCTGGAAGTACTTTGAAGTGTTTCATTAGCCGGAACCATAACATACATCTTCTATTACCTGTCCATAGGTATGACTGCATCATTTACTCCTTCTGTCTTGTAATGTCTAAATGTGAGTCCACCCTATGGCTTCCTGGAGAAAATTCCTCCAATGCATACTAAAAAAAACTCATTGCACTGAGCCTCAATTATTGGATTTTGTCTCTTGTGTGTGATTCCATAATGGGAATGGTCCTTAGAAATCATTGTTGCCTGCTCTAATAGCCAACTTCATTACATGAAGTTCTTTCCAATCCTGACCCAAATCAGACCTCAAATGTCTTACATGTAAAGCACGTTTTTCACCAAATGTCATGCTGTCATGTTTCCTGATTCAATAATTTAGTTAGGAAGTTTTGCATCCACAGGAGAGAGTGAATCTTCAAGCTCACCTTTGTAGGCCAGATAATTGCATCAGAGCGAATGGTGACATCCTGACCTGGGGGAGCCCCAGGATTTATTTGCCCAATTTTCAGAAGGACAACTGATCGATTGGGGAGGAGAACCCAGTTGAGAAGGTCATAACGAGCAGATCCCAGTCCTTTTTCTGAGAAGGAGATTTCCTCTCCAGCACTGTTATTGAACTGGACATTCATCAAATAAGGAAGGAGCTGAAACAAAAGAGATCTTCAGAAATTGGAGGAATTGGCTGAAAACTGCAGATAAGGCATCATGGCTTCTATCATTTTGTGGCTTCTCAGACACAAAACAGTTATGTAGAAACAAAACACAGGGTCAATCAAAAATGACTCAATTACCTTTACACCAATGCACAATGTATGAGGAATTTTTTTTCCTACTTCAAGATAGTGCCGCCGAAGGCAGCCTCAATGCAACGCCCCCTGATAGCTTTGTTGTTTTTTAATTATTCTCTGTGGCTCGCTTCATATTTCATATTCATGAGATAAACTGTTAAGCCTCAAGCAGCATTTTTTTAATGGACATCTTTCTGCGACTATACGTCCCTCCCTCCTGCCTTTACAAATGTGGAGGAGATTCTGATCGAGGAAGTGTCAGCTGTCTCCGAACAATGGAAAGAAACAAAAACAAAAGGAGAAGATGACGATGATGAAGAAGGGGTAAGCAAGCAGGGATTTTGAATAGACTAAGGAAAAATGGAATAAAAACCCTTCTTCCCTCACTCTTTTCGGCTAATTTGCATTCACTCGCTAATGAGATGGGTTAATTATTTCTTTTAAACAGATGCAACTCTGATTTTTACAAATCAGCAGCCCCCTGCTTTATGGAAACCTGGTTAAATGAGTCGATTGATGATAGTAGCTTGCAGATCCCAGGGTTTCCGATACAGAGGGCAGACAGAATTGCAGAACCATCTGGTAAAAAAGAAGGGAGGGGGGTCTCTGCTTTTATATCAACAACCAATGGTGTAAAAATGTAACTACACTGAAGAAATTATGTGATGTGCACTTAGAGACATTAATAATAATAATAATAACAACAACAACAACAACAATAATAATGTTGGAAGGGACCTTGGAGTCATCTAGTCCAACCCTATACCATTTCAGACAAATGGCTGTCCAGTCTCTTCTTAAAAACTTCCAGTATTGGAGGAAGGTTGTTCCACTGGTTAATTGTTCTAACTGTCAGGAAGTTTCTCCTTAGTTCCAGGTTGCTTCTCTCCTTGATTAGTTTCCATCCGTTGCTTCTTGTCCTGCCTGCAGGCACCTTGGAGGATAGCTTGACTCCCTCTTCTTTGGGGCAGCCCCTGAGATATTGGAACACTGCTATCATGTCCCCCCTCGTCCTTCTCTTCATTAAACTAGACATCCCCAATTCCAGCAACCGTTCCTTATATGCTTTAGCCTCCAGTCCCCTAATCAACATTAATTATCTATTGCAAACCATTTTATTCTCCACAAGAGTTTTCCTCATTTCTCCTATTTGCAACGTACATTCTTCCACAAGCTTGCATAAACAATGCATTACAAACTCTAGCTGACCAGATTATGTGAGCTGAAAAGAGACATCCAGATTCACTCCTCATTGTATTAGGAGATTTCAACAGCTCTTAAGCCAAAAGCTACCAAGATATTTTCAGCCTGTCAACTATCTTACTAGAGACAAGAATACTTTAAACCACTGCTACATAACGTTAAAAAAAATGCTTATAATTTTTTACCATGAGCAGCTGTGGGACACTCTGGTCATTGTATGATTCACCTTGTACCAGCTTAAAACCATAAAACCAACAATTAAATCAGTGAAGTCTTGGATGGTGGAGACAAAGCTACAGGCTTGCCTTGACTGCACTGATTGGAACGTTTTCGAAGATACCTCTGCAGACTTGGATGAAGTCACAGATACTGTAACATCATATGTTAGCTTTTGTGAAGACCTACATGTGCTAACCAGGAACTTGTGAATATACAGTAACAATAAGCCTTGGTTCACAGCTAAACTCAAGCAGCTATGTCATGCCAAAGAGGAAGCCCACAGGAAAGGAGATAAAATGCTGTACAATCAGGCAGAAATGTATTAACAAGATCAGAACAGCAAAAAGAAGCTACTCTGAAAAGTGGAGGAACCAGCTCTCAATAAATGAGCCAGTAAATGTGTGGAAAACACTTAACAACATCACTGGTTATAGCAAACCACCTTTCCATGCTGAAGGGAATTGACAACTGGCAGATGACCTGAATGCATTTTACTGTAGGTTTGAGAAGCAACCACTATTTTTATTTTATTTTTTTTTATTTTTTTATTTTTAAAATTTATAAGCCGCCCCACTCCCGTAGGACTCTGGGCGGCTAACAATAAAAACAACATAAAACATGACAAACGAACAGTACAATTACAGTCAT